TTAAAAATAAAAATGAGGGTGTAATTACATTATTATAATAAATTTTATTTATTTATTTTCTTATTATCATTTTTATAAAATTAATAATTTTAATAATAAAAAATAAAAAATATTTAAAAAAAATACACTTAATTGTTTTTAACCATGTCATTATTAGTTATTCAATATTAAACAACAACTACTAACTGTTATATAACTAGATAATTATATCTATTGAATCAACTATATATTTTCTGTTACTCACTTTTCGCTATCTGTTATCCGCTATATATCCACTAACCACCACCCGCTACCTGCTACCGTCATCTGCTATCTGCTATTCGTTGAATTTTAACCGTTGTACTCAACAGGCCCTATAAGTAAATACTTACTTATTTGTAAATTACATCTTAAGATTCAATTACTATTATTAGTTCACGTGATAAATGATTTTAAAATTTAAAAATCTTAATTGATCGACAAATTATACAGTGCAAAAGAAAGTGTTGGTATGTCTTTAGCGAAGCCAATTGCCTTGCCAACTCACTTGCAAAATATGGTGCATCAATGTAGGAACCTTTTTGCATTTTTGGTTCTACTGCTTCATTTTGTAATTTGAAGTTCACCAAGGTAGGACTGAAACTTTTGTGATTCGGACAATTATATGTAAAACCTAATTTCTATTTATGCAATTTCCTCTTTTTCAACCAAAAAGAAGAAAAAGAAAGTGTTGGTGGCAACCCTATACTCTTGATTATGTTAGGGTAATGAATGAGAATAGGATTTTATAATTTTCTAAATTACAAAAGGATTAAGGCATAGAAACAAGAATCAACATACAAATTAATCTAACTTCATTTGGTATGGTAATCTTAATAGTTTTGCAGATAAATATAAGTATTTTATTGTTCTAAGTGGGGTTGATGCCTCCACTCAAACATATCATCCATTTGTCAAAAAGGTTAATTTCAGTTAATAACAAATTTTATATACAACACAACAAACAATTTGAAAATCATTCCATGATTTACATATATTCCTTAAGCATTAGCTCTGAATAACCATAAAACCAGTAATAGTATTATTCTTGGAATGATATGCCTGTTAAATTAAATTCAGCTATTTAATTTAGTTAAAACCTTATCATTTTCATTAAAATTTAAAGAATTTACAAGAAATTATTTTCTAATAACTTTCTTCAAAACCGAAATTTTTAGTCAACTAAACTTTTTAACCAACTAAATCAATTACTTTCGGCATGACTTGTTGACTAGTGGTTCATGCTAATGCTATTCATATGGTTGTAACCGTTAACAGAAAATGTTAATAGTTGTAAGGATTTGGAGCAAAAGCTGCATGACCAGACCAACTATGAAATTGTTGTATTTTAGTTTTAAGATGATTTGACGTGGCCATGTTACAGTTTTGTGAACAGAATTAGAACCAATCTGTAGTCCATTTCTTGGCTTGTAATCCCACAAATTCTTCATTTATTATTATTGTTGTTATTATTTTGTTGAATTAGGCAATAAGAGATATATATTTTTTTAATTTGTTTTACTTACATATTATACAATTTAAAATCATTTTTTATTAAAAAAATAACAATTAAATTACTTAAATTCGTTGGCACAAATTTCTCTTTTATTAAGTTATTGCTCATGTGGGTTTGAGTCATCCAAATTCAAAGTGTGACTAAAAAATTAAATGAGATAGAGAATGTAAAAAAAAAGTGAAATGAAAGAAAGACAATGGTTAAGAAAAGGGAGGAATAAAGGTGAAAAAAAAGTAAAGAAGAAAGGGACCGTATAACACTATTGGTAACCTATTGTGAGGGGCTTGGGATTTGTACCCCATGACAGTAAGAGCTATATCTATATACATTTTTTGTAGTTTGCACCTGTTTGGGCAATTTTATGAATCTACATTATAGAGATCTTCAATTGCTTCTACCTGAAATACTCAAGGATGTTTCTTTGGGGAAAACAATATAACGCCCAAGTTAGCAATATTTTACTCTTAGAAAGATGAGCTCTCAAGAATAAGAATAATAAGAGAGAGAAGCGTAATTGAGTTAATGCCCTTACATGAGGATAGATGAGGGTATTTATAGCTTCCATTAATGATAGTTAGTGCCACGTGCAAGCACCCGATTACTCCAAGTGTCAACATCCGCGGAGTGTATCCATGTTTGGATTTAACTTTTGTGGGCTACAGATGTAAGTGGGCCTATTGAGCTAAACCCACTATGGGTGTTCGGCCTGTTCCTCAACATTACTCCCTCCTTAATGTTTAATTAACAAACTATGGCAATTATAATGGTAGCCCAACAACCATCTTCAGGGACCTAGTTTATGGACAAGCTCACCGCGGCTATTAACTTTTTTGGCACCCAACGGGTTTTATGCGAGCTCGCCTTCAAACTTGATGAGCTGAATTGGAATGGCGACATCTTAAAGCAGGCACGTATATCCAATGATTTTTATAGGATCTGGGTGAGCTGAAGTGTGAGCGACGGCAGCTCAATACTGTGTCTCTTCTTCAACAAGTTCATCTAGTAAAATTTTCACAATTCGAAAACCAACCATCTAAGGAGATATGACTTTTGAATGAATTCATCTTGGTCGAGCTCAACCAAGTGAATTTTCAACATTCAAAACGAATATCTGATGGAAGCGTGGATTAAGAACAAGCTCATAGAGAACGAGCTTACCCATGTGATGTTTCAAAATTCAAAACAAATTTCTGATAAGGTGTAGATCATGAACAAGCAAATATAGCACGATCTCACACATGTTATTTTTCAAAATTCAAAACAAAACAAATCCCTGAAAAGATATGGTTCAGAACGGTTGATATCCCTTTGCCCCCTTCACAATAAATGCTAGTTTAGCATTTGAAGAGTTGTGACAACTAAAGCTAGTGGGTATTAGGCACCTTGCTTTGAACGGTTGTCACGTGCGAAACCTTAATTGGCTATGTCAGAGATATGTGTATGGGAATCGAGGGTGCATAAACTGGCGAAGAAAAAGGAAATGGAAACAACCCTTTTGTCATTTTGGCTAGTTTCCTTCTGTATTGTTCTCTATCATTCTCCATAGCAAGAGTATTTGACTTTCGCAGCAAAGTCTAAAAATTCAGGTAAAAATGGAATTTTTTAGGGAACTTAGAGAGCTTTGGGGTAACCAGGGGATGGAAGAAGAAGAAGGCGTTGTTTCTGTAGAACCCATTGCAATCATAGTACCATCGGAACTGCAGGATTTGCCAAAGTCTATCATGCCGAAAAGTAGCACCAATTCAAGCACGGTTGGGGGGTTCGGTAATCACCAGTCTCCTCCTTCTTCTAAAAGTCAATCTTCTGAAGCGACACCTAGTGATGATAAAGGCGTAGAGGTATGAAATAGCGCCCAAACATGACAAGTATGGAAGAGAGTGTATCAGTCATGGATGCATGGGAGAATAAGCTCTTTGTTGGAAAATTAGACAACATTCGTAAGGTGTCACAGGACTTACCAGCTAGATTCAAATTTAGGGTGGCGTTCCATCATGACGTGGCAAACGGCACAGCCACTGTAAAAGGGATTCAAAAAATTAGGGGAGATAGTGAAACGATTTCAAATCCCTAAGACAAATTAGTTCAGGTTGGCACTAGGAACGAAAGGGCATGTTCGGTGTTAAGAACTGGATGGATACCAGTATACGTGGATCATTTTGACACCGGCTTACAGTTTCCTCTGCCTAGATTGATTTTTAACGTACTTGCAGAGTATGAGTTGGCACTGATGTAATTAACACTGAATAGCATAAAGTTCATTATAGGGTTCATGTTATTATGTGCACAATTAGGAATACCTGCAAAGGCTATGGTGTTCAATTCATTCTTTCAGTGCAGGTTGAGTAGTAACAAGACGAGGTGGTACTACATTTCTAGGAGGGAGAAGATGATGCTTTTTACCAGTGTGAAGAATAAGGTCGCCAAATGGAAAAGACAGTTCATTTTTGTTCACGATACACGAATGGAAAAGGTGAATAAAGAATTGGCTGCCTGCATCTTTGAGTGGTGGATAGCCTAGACTTATATGAACTATCCTATGTTAGTGCTAGGTGATGTGGATATAAAGAACACGTTGCTAGATTACGTGAAGGAGGACGGATTTGTGGATTTGGAGGCCCTGGTTACCCCTGAGCAGTTAGTGACGTTTGGGTTTGTGGATACGATAAACCTATATGCCAAAGGTATATTTCTTTTGTAAATTTCAATTACTAACTGAGCTGAGTCTTATTGTATTTATTTGTGTAAAAGAAATGAGTAGCATGTTGGAAAGGCAACGTGAACGAGCACAAAGGTCAAGAAGTAGGCAAGTGGATTCTAGCTTGCACAAGTAGACTTGTTTTGACGAGCGACCATTAGATCCACCTCATAGCTCATCTCATAGGGAGCAAGGCTCCAACTCAGCATCAAGGGTGCAAGCCGAGTAGAAAGTTGAAAGTTTACCCTTAGACTCTCATAAGCATGCACACGAAGGTGTGGATGTTGATGATGACGTGCCACCTCTCATGTAGTGGCGATCCAACTCTAGAGTTCAGTCTGTTACTACACACTCTTTTGACGGGCCTCATGCATCGGAAAGCAGTGGTGCTGAAGCTAGGTCGGCACAGACACAAGTGTCGAGTCCTAAGATTGCATGCCCTGAAGGTTTTAGTTATACAAAGCCGAAATGTCACACTACAATGCTACAGGATATGCATAACTTCATCCCCTCTATGGATTGGGAACGCCCCAAAGGCTACATGCAACAGAATAGTGGCCGTGCCGCCATGCTAAAATTGATGGATGTAAGTGTTGTAAATGATTGTTTGTGCTAAATATCTTATGTATTTACATTTAAAGATAACGACACGATTAGGGTGACAGACTTTTAGCTACACAGTGGTATTAATTGAAAGTGAGCAAGGGGAACGAGGCCAAACACGAAAGCTTGCAAAAAGCTGTAAGTAGCTTACTTTTGAGAAGGCCAGCTTAAATGAGGGAGTGAACCATATGTAGAGTTTTGAAATGGCTAATAGAGCTACATTTGTTGAGACCTAAGTGAAGGGGATGGCTGATAAAGTGAACGAACTGAAAGAAGAGTTGTAGAAGGCTCAAGCTGAGAGACAAAGTGGAACCTCAACCACCAAATGAGGGGTGGAGCATGTTGAAGAGCATGCAAGGAAAGCTAAGGTAGAAATGGATAACACTATAAACAAGCTGAACTCCTTAAGATCGTAGGTGGCCAAGATCAATCAAGAACTTGGGCATGTGTAAATGGTGGTTAATGAAATGAAAACATCATATTGATGTTTGATTGACATCGCTCGCACCCAAGGGGCTGAATGGCTAATTGACTCAGATGCATTTCAGGATGCTGTGGGTATTGCATCAATGAACACAATGATGTAGGTTTATGAAGATATACACAGAAAGCTGCTACAACACCGGCCTGACTTCCCTATTGGCAAGCTAACATTCATGGAGGGAGAAGAGATTGATGAGCAAGGGAAAACCTTGTTCCCTCCATTTGAGATAATAGTATGGCTAGGGTGGAAGCTAAATAAGAATGAAGTGCTCGTTTTTCCTCTTATCGTTTCTGAGGACGGAGAAGACGAGGACTCCTTGCCAAGTTTTAAGGCTTGGGTTGTTGGTACGCCTGACGTAGAAGCTGAGCCAATTAGAGCTCCTAATGGGACTCAATCCACTCTTGACCTATCTCAGCCTACTTTGTCTCCTACTTGTTCTAGTGATGTAATGGTTGTGCCCTTAGTGGATTTAACTAATGACTAGGGTGTAAGGTTGTTGATTTTTGTACTTTTGATTTGTGGTATTTTGAAAAAGTTTATGTAGCTTGAACTGCTCTTTTTAATGGAGTGAAATGAAAGATAACTATTTGGGGCAACAATAAAATGCTTGCAACCCCTTTGCCCTTAACAAAAGGACCAAGTAGGTCCACCCTCCATTGGGTCAAAGGCCAAGGTGAGGTGAAGGAAGATAACGTTTCTCCTGTACCAATAGAGGCATACATTTTTAGTCCTAGCGTCATTATAAAAGCACAGATAGACTTACGTGTTCATATTAGAACAAGCTAAGTTACCTAGCATGTGTATATCATTAGAATTGAACTAGCAAGTCAGGCATTTTTTGACATAGTTTTGCGCATCTTCAACCATATTGGGCCAATAATATCCCTACCTAAAAAGTTTTCAAGCTAAGGTTTTCCCACTTATGTGAGTGCCACTTACTCTTTCTTGTACTTCCCGTACAACAAATTCAGCTTCATAAGGAGTAAGGTAACGTAACGAAGGCATTGATATTGCTCGTTTATATAACTGGCCATCAACTAAAGTGAAATGGGCCACTCTGTATCTAACCAACCAAGCCTCAAATGACTTCCCAAGTAGTTCACCATTTTGTAGGTAATTAATCAACGGCATAGTCCAGCTCGGTGACAACGAGTCAATACTTAACATCTGACAGTTGAATATTGGAATGGAATAACTTGGGGCATCCAAACCTCCACGTACATTGTTCATTGAGGATTGATGTCTTGTGAGGAAGCTAGCTTGGACAGTTCGTCGACTCGTCGATTATTTGCCTGTGATAATTTGTCAATTCGAAATGAAGCGAAGCTAATTTTTAATTGGTTAACCACATAAGAATAACAAGCATGTTGAGGGTCTCTAACATCACAACTCCCATTAACTTCGTTCACAACGAGCTAAGAGTCACTGAAGACCCTTATGTTTTGTACCTTGAGCTTAGAGGCTAATTTAAGGCTGTAAATTAGTGCTTCATACTCCACAGCATTATTAGTTGCCTAAAACTTGAATCTCAAAGCATGCTCCATTTTAAAACCATTTGGGCCAATCAACACCGCTTTAGCTCTAGCTCCTGATCCTTCAACATTTGCAGCTCCATCTACATATAAAGCCCATATCGAGTGCAAGGCTATGGCTTCCTCTATGGTTGTTGGAAGACACTCAACTAGGAAATTTCCCAAAGCCTGGCCCTTCATAGCCATGTAGGGTTCAAATTTAATATCGTATGCATTAAGCTCCACAGCCCACCTAATCAATTGACCAGAAAGCTTAGGCTTTTGTAGTATATTCCTTAGTAGTAGGTTAGTAAAAACAATAATTTGATGGGATTGGAAGTATGCCCTTAACTTTCGAGCTGCACAAACAAGGGCAAGGGCAGCTTTTTCTAAAATGGGATAATTTTGCTTTACACCTTGTAAAACTTTGCTCATGTAACAAATGAGTTTTTGTTGCTTGTCTTGCTCTCTTAGTAAGACCAAGCTCACTGCCTCAATTGCAATTCTTAGATACATATATAACTTTTCCTCATCAATAGGTTTGGTTAGCAATGGTGGTGATGCCAAATATTTTTTGAGTTCCTCGAAAGCTTGTTGGCATGCATTCGTCCACTGGAAATTTTTGGGCTCTCTTAGAGCTTTGAAAACGAGAGGCATCTTTCTGTCAACTTGGCAATAAATTTGTGTGGGGCGGTGAGGTCGCCTGTTAAACGTTGTACATCTTTCATTGTTTTAGGGGGCTCCATCTACTCCACGGCCTGAACCTTGTCTAGATTTACTTCAATTCCTTCCTTTGAGACTACACATCCTAGAAATTTGCTTGACTCGATGCCGAATGTATATTTCAAGGGGTTTAGCTTCATTTTTGCTCAACATAGGTTTTGAAATGTTTCATTTAGGTCATTGATGTGAACTTCAGCTCTCAAACTTGTGACAATCATGTCATCAACATAGACTTTAATGTTCCTACCAATTTGAAACTTGAAAAACAAACTGAGCTAACTTTTGGTATGCAACAACAACATTCTTTAACCTGAATGGCATCATGACATAGCAATAAATAGCATCCCCAGCATAAAATGTTGTTTTCTCTTGGTCATTCAGCCATAGCTAAACCTGATGATATCCCGAGTTAGCGTCCAGAAAACTCATACGTTCATGACCAGCCGCTCGTTCTACCAACTTCTTGACATGGGCAATGGGTGTGGGTCTTTGGGAGATGCATCATTTAAGTTCGTAAAGTTAATGCACATTCTCTACTTCCCATTGTGTTTTTTAACAAGCACCGGATTGGATACCCATTCCGAATATTCCACTTTTTTTATGAAACCCACCTGTAATAGCTTTTGTATTTCTTCATCTACGACAGCTTGCTTTTCCTAACTAAAAGGGCAGCATTTTTGTACCATTGGTTTTCTTGTAAGATTTGTGTTAAGTTTATGAACTGCAAATTCCATTGGGATTCTTGGCATTTCATCTGTTGTCCAGGCAAAGACATCTTTATTGGATTTAAAAACTCTAGAAGTTCTCTTCTCTCTTTAGCTGTGAGTTTAGTCCCTATCTTCATGGTTTTGTCTAGTTCCTCGGGGTTTAAGGGAATTGTTTCTACAGGTTCTATTGGCTCAGTTTTTGGTTCCACATTTTTAGGTTGATGATCTATGTCAGAGATACTCATTGTTGTAGACCTGGTTGGTTTAGCCATGGAATCTGAGAGGACTGAGTTTTAGGGATTGTAGTGAGCTCGACCTTCTTGAATGTGTCATGGTAACAAGTTCTCTCCATTTTTTGGTTTCCCTTCAACACTTCTATCCTATGAGGAGTTGGGAATTTCATACATAGGTGTGGTTAGGAGATGACAGCCTTTAACTCACAAAGCGTAGCTTTCTCGATTATGGCATTGAAAGCTGATTCCATTTTAACTACCAAGAAGCTCACTGATGCCATCCTAAATTGAGGTTCAAAACCCACATATATGGGGAGGGATGACCACCCCTTCAACAGGGGTAAGCTAGTTATCAAATCCATATATAGGTCCTTCATATTTCTTCAGTGAAGTCGAGTTCAACTGCATTTTCTAGAAGCAGTTCCAATATAAGATTTCCAGAGAACTGCTTGTATCAATGAAGACCTTATTCACATTGTGGTTGCTTATATGGACAGTGGCTACAAACGCATCAACATGAGGCATAATAATATCAGGTTCTCCTTCTAATCTTTTGTAATCTGTGGGGTTGAACGTGATTGGCGCATTTTCCCATTCTATTTCCTCAAATAGTCATTTTAGGGCCTTGTTCTTGTTCACAGTCGTTACTTGACGAGCATAGGCTTTATGACCACAGGCACTCTGGCCCTCTAAATGCATCCCACAAGAAATCATGTTTATTGTGCTCAAGGGTGGAGGAATTCTAGTGTAACCTATTCCCTTGTTGTCTTTTTGGTTTTGGGTAATGGTCCTCTATCCCTATTTTCTTTTATTAAGCTAGCATCCTCTGTGACCTTTCCCGAACTCAGAAGGATATTGATTCCCTTGATACATGTTTTGATTACTATCGGCCTGATATCCTTGCCCATAAGATCCGTTGTAGTCTTGCACATAATGAGTTTGGCTGGGTGGTTGAGGAAAAGATTTCTGGATGTGTTCTTCCAACTTTCCATTTCAACCTAAAAATTCCAATTCCTTCAAGCTCTGACAATCCTCTATGTGATGGCCATATCCACGGTGATAGTCATAGTATTTACTCTTGTCTGTTTGCGTGGAGTCACGAGTAGGGGGAGGTGGCCTCTTGATCCAATGTTGGATCTATGCTAACATTTGAGACCTCGACAAGCTCAAAGGAAGGTAGCTTGCATATTTTGGGAAGCTGGGTGGTTTTCCTTTCTAATCAACAACTTTATGCTTTTTTTCTTTTCTTCCCTACCTTCTCGCTGTCAATGTTTTTTGTTTTGCTTATCATCAACTCGCCTTTTGGATGACTAGAAGTCTTTTAATAAGATGAAACTTGCTAACCTATCGTTCACCTCATTCCACAATTTTGGTGGATTTCCAACAAGTCATCTAAGAACTGACCAGGTTTTAGGCCATGTAGTAGGGCAGATAGGCATATCGTGTCAGGCACATCATCGATGTTTAACGTGGCCTTGTTAAAACGCTGCATGTAATCTCTTAATGATTCCCCATCTTTCTAGTGGACTTGCATTAGCTCAGTGGCCGTGCATTCTATATCTCATTGGCTCGAAAACTTATTGGAGAACAAAGTGGCGAGTTGATAGATTGCCTGGGGAGCTTATGGTACCATCTTCTCGTAGTCAACTTTAAAGTAGTCGAAAATACTTTGCACATCATGGCATCCATTGTGTTTTGTATCTTCATGATGGCCTGATAGGTGTGTAAGTGTTCATCTGGGTCACCAGAGCCATCATACGTCTCTAAATGAGGAATCTTGAACCCTTCTTGATAAGGTTCTACGGTTATGGGCACAATAAAAGGGGCACTGTCTAGGTTTTTGCTTGTTGATGCGACTTGGGATTCTTCAGCTCGTCAATGGATTTCTGTATACCCTCGACCTGTTTTTCGAGCTTGTTATTCTTCTTTAACAACTCCTCGTTGAGTTTTGATGAGCTGGGTTTAAGATTCAATTTCCTGCTTCATCTTGGTCTAGTCAATACTACTACGTTGCTCAAAGTAGGGCAATTACAAGGAACAACCTCTGGAGGTTGGTCATACCTATTCAGTAGGGGAATTAAAGGGTCATCTGGAATCAAATGGGAAAGGATCCTTCGCATAGCCATTTCTAAAAACTCTAGTTCTCTCTTTTAGCTCAGATGTCCGAACTGATTCTAAAGGCCTGCCAAGCCATTATGTGCTGTGGATGGGGTGTCTTCGTCGCATGTCTCCTAGAGCCTGAAATTGTTCGTCAAGCTGGGTGGCATATCCAATGGGCATTCACTCGTCATCTGAACTACTTAATTGTCTTACAAAAAGGTTTCTTGGCATTGGTTGAGAGTCATTAGGGTTAAACTCCAGAAGTTGAGCATTGCTCTGATCATCCATTCGGTCTAATAGGGGAGGGCGACTTCCTA